GATAAGATAGGCAATGCTCACACGGCCATTCAACAAAACCACTATAGCTTCAGTCTAAGGATTTTTATATAGACATACTTATATTAGAAATTGTTGAAATAGCTATTTAAGAAGCGGATCAATTTTCACCTTTAAATTGGTCCAATCGGAGAGCATCAGCAGTGCATCAGCATTCATATTAATGTTCGTTCGTGTTCGTTCGTATTCGTTCGTGACGAATATGAACGAACACGAAAAAAATGTTTACGAACGAATGCGAATGAACACGTCGTCTTCTATAACGAACACGAACGAATACGAATCGGAAAAAATTTCTACGAACGAATGCGAATTGAACGAACGAACACGTTGACCTTCCTAGCGATATAGTTTTGCGTTTTGCGATATCGTAATAAATTTTTATTATGATGATAATTATTATGTTTCATATCGTTATTAGGATCGGATCCTAATAACGTTATTATGATTTTATTAACTTATCATGATAAAATCATAATAATTTTATTAGGATTACATCCTAATAATTATTATGTTTTATCATAATATTTATCAGGATTGATCTTAATAAATACCGTGTTCACTTGATAGCATATTGTTATTCAGCCAAAAACATATTTCAACAGATGGCGCTACTTCAGACAATTGAAGTGTCTACGGTATTTATTGAGATGAATCCTAATAAATATTATGATAAAACATAATAAGTATTAGGATGTAATCCTAATAAAATTATTATGATTTTATCATGATAAGTTAATAAAATCATAATAACGTTATTAGGATCCGATCCTAATAACGATATTGGTGGGAATGCTTATTATTATTAACTTATCATAATAATTTTTTATTACGTGCAAAACTATACCTAGCGAATACGACCGAACACGAATAGAATAATTTTTTTACGAACGAATGCGAACGAACGCTAAGGCGGTTATAGCGAATACGAACGAACACGAATCGAAAAATATTAATACGAACGAATTTTACTTTTCCGCACACACTAGTGTGTAAGGTAAAGTATTGGAATCGGTCGAAAAATTAACACCCATAAAAAATGTGTTTTCTGGGTGTTTTTGGGGCCAGGGAACACGAATCTAGCGTTTTTTTCGATGTCCGAATGTATGTGCGTACCCTGTACCCTGTATCCTGTACCCTGTACCCTGTACCCTGTACGCAAACATTTGTTAACACGATAACTTTCAAACAAGAAAAGTAATTCAAAATCTGACTTCACACGATGATTGGGGGTGCCGAGGAATAGAAACCATTAGATTTTGAGCGAATTTGGTCGATAGAGTGAAGTGTCTTGTCTGGTGTTGCCATCCATGGGGGAAATTCAATTTTTCTTCCAAAAGTGATATTTAATGTATTCATAAACATTCAAAAATATGTATTGGGGGGTTTTTGGGTACAAGAAAACCGAATATGACGTTAGTTTTGCGATACAAATATATTTCGACACAATTTTCATACAAAAATTTCGAAAAAATTGGAATTTGGTATGAAAGCCATGCCTGTGTGATATCGTAATGAGCTGAAACTTTGCACCGGTTATTTTTATCACACAAAAATAACATTCCGAGAGTTTGAAGACATTTCAACGCATATTAGGGGTACCTCCTGAACAAAATTTTGGATTTTTCGCTCAAAAACGAAATTTTGTATGGAAGGTACCCCAAACTTGTATTGAAATTTTTTCAAACTTTAAGAATGTTAGCTTTTTGTGAAAAAAATTACCTCTGCAAATTTTCACATGGTTACGATTTCATACAAGCATTGAAAAGTCTATCAAAAATTATTTGTATCGCAAAACTAATGTCAGATTCAGTTTTCTCGTGAATTCAAATTTAAGTGAAAGATATGTAACAAATGCATGTTGTCAATCACAGTGCGGAAAAGTTCATCTTACGGATGTAAGACATTTTATTTTTTATACAAACGCGTTCGTAGCCATCTCATCTAATTTAGCACGTGTCAATAGACCTATTCAATATGTTATAAATATCATCGATGAAGGTGTTGTTCTTCAAACCTTAAAAGATTTGTTTTAAACAAACTTCGAACAAACAAGATTTGTTTTAAACAAACTTCGCATAGTTATATTGCCCAATTTTTTTTTTTTATGACCACCCAAGAAACAGGTGGATTCGTTTACATAAAAAGCTTACCTCTAGATTTTCCTTCCATTATTTATTTAGTTCAAATTTGAAAGGAGATACACAATTTCAATGGTAAGCTTGAGCTGTTTTATTTCACTTTTGGAAATTACATTGATGTTTTATTATAGTTTTTATTTATCTCATTTTAACAAATTAGCTGTGGCTGAACAATTCTTAATACAAAAATCAACAAAATACCATTTATTTTGTTTTTATGTTTTTTTGACTCCATTAATCAAAATAATAAAAATAAATCAATAGTAAAATGTAGTAATTGAACATCATTTTTGTTGTATTTTGATCAATTTACTAAATTATAATAATTAAAGGCAGTATAAAGAACTAAAAATACATTTTCATTAACAATTATTTTTTGAAATTGAATAGATAGTTCTAACATTTTACGATTCATAAATTGGTTTGAAATTTTATTCTTTTGATTTATTGCATGAATGTTCCATTTGATTAACAATTGAGATATTTTTGGCACTTTGACAATTTAACTTCTAAACTTTATTCGACTATGAGTTGAAGATTGTGAAAATGTTTAGTTTGAATGTTTTTATCAAATTATTCGCGATAACAATTCTTCAACGAAAAAAGAAACAAATATCCCATTGTTACAGTTCTATTTTCATGTTTGTGAACTTACAAATAAAAAGGAACAAAAAAATGCATGCATTTCATTACATTAATTTTTGTTAATTGAATAATGCGCATGTTCTGAGAGACTTAACGATGTAATAGCTGCGATTCATGGTGTTCATCTTCTTGACTATAAGAAAAAAATACAAATAAAATTAATAAATTATAAGAACAAAAAATATTTAACTTTAGAGATGTGTTAGTCGAGAACTAAACTTATTCATGTTTTCTACAAATGTCAGTAGACAACATTTTGCAACATCTATATCAGCTTTTGCAATATTTTGAAGTTCACGGCTCATTCGTAGCCCAATTGAACATATTCAATACATTCCCGATGTGTACGGAAAAGAGAAGAGCAACAAATTTATTTTATATTACAAATTGTACAATAATTATTTTTGGCCGGCATTTGATAAATATTATTATTTCTCGTGAATTTGATCCAAGTCCTTTCTCCACATTTTCATTACCTTAAAAAGCCTATCTATGAGTGTCTTTTGATTCAACGAGAGACATTGCATACAGATACAGTTGCATTGCTTCATCTTTTGATTTTATGTTACATTTTTTTAAAAATTAGTTTCGCATACATCCGCCTCTCTATACATATTAAATTGTTTTTATATCAAAACACCAAAAATGGTGTAAAGATGCCATCTCACATTTTATACTGGTCGAAACATTTTATTAATGTTTACTAACTACAATGAACTATATATATCGAACAATTTCAAATCCCGAAAATCATCGAATATGCTATTAAAAAACAGACATTAAATAAATGTTTTTCGGAACTTGATATGTTTGCCGAGACACAAACCGTTCACGATAAAATTCAATTAATAGAATTTTATTTTTCTAAATCGATCCTATTTCACCGACCCACACAAAAAATATTAAAAACTAGGAAAATGGTTTGAAAACCAACTAAATTTTTAATACTAAAATCATTTGATGGCAATAGTGAATGAGACGATGGTCGTGGATATAGAATATGAACAGGTGGTGGTTCCTCCAATTCATCAAAGTCGTTTGAATCGAATGAACTACCAAAACCATGTTCTATATCCGGATAGATTAAAGATGATGGAAACCAAAAACTACTATTTTGTTGACACATTAAAAATTAAACAAATTAAATCCGTGAGCAGCATTGAGAAATGTACATAATTTTGTGTTAGTTTTTAAGTTATGAGAGCATTCAAATGAAAAATAAACTTACTCAGCGCAAGGAGTAACATTGTAACCACTGACAGCGTTTTGATAAATGTTAACGGCTTGCGTATCGGTACCTTCGACGATATTTATGCAACCGTTAAATCCTTGTCTGTAACGTTCGCCGGTGAATTTATTTATCTCGGGTGCACCGCCTATTAAAATGTATCATCAAAACAAACCCATGTAGTGTAATTGTAATTGAATTTGTTCGAGGTTTTCTTCTTACCAATGAAGATATTCCCAGGTAAATACGTGTAGTTTCGGCTTGTTTTAACCGTTTCACCATGAACTGAGAAGTTATCAAGTTCAAGAGTAGCGCGATTTCCATTACGTTGTAAAACTGCAATGTGACGTGATCCATCATCTACACGGGTATTATCATTCTTGACACTGGTTTCTTCACCATCCAAGCGCAGTGCGAATTCTAAGAAACCATCAACGACAGCCAATGCGATGAAATCTTGTCCATCGTATGCAACGCCCTTGTTTTGTCCATACCAAACCAATAAGCCGTTTGATTCAGTGGTCGAGAATAATACAGCCAATAAAATATCTTTTTCGGTGGATCCCTTCACTAAAGCTGAACTATTCAATTCGATATAACCGTTTCCTTTATATTGACTAGAAAATTCGATAGGTGCGCTGTGTTGGCATACTTCTCCAGTAAAATGAATTGGACAATTGCAGACATATGTGTTGTCCTTGCTTTCGCAAATTCCATTGTTTTCACATGGATCATGTGCTAAACACGCATCAACAACTATTTCACAATTGTAGCCAGAATATCCAGGTTTGCAAACTGCTGGAACCAACGGTTCTTCGGGCTATTAAATATTTTGAAACTGTCAGTTATTCACACAAGTAAATGAAAACAAGGCAATAAACTTACAGCTATTTCATTGGTATCTCCACAATTATGGATATTAGCACCATCTAATAGACTCTTGATCATATCAATCTTTTGAGATGAAACTTCCAACTGAAAATGTTTAGAGGAATTATTTTTTTTTAAATTTGTTTCAATTTTTAAGTTAATAACAATAAATTTACTTACGCCTGAAATGCAACCATCAAAACCTCTGTTAACTTCAACTCCTTTGTTTAATAAAATGCGTTTGTCATAGCCGCCAATGTACAAATTCGTCTTCAAATACATAGTATGTGCTGGACCAATTGCTTTTCCGGTAACTTGTGGTGAATCACCAACCTTAAGGAAGCCTTCACCATGTCGGCGTCCAAGTGAAATAGATGTCCACTTGTCCACATCGACTTCTTCTTCCGAACGAATGATAACTGGGAGAACGCCTAAATAGGTGAAAAATTTCGTTTTTTTTATTATTATTTTTTTAGAAAATATATCACATCCAAACTTACGTCCACCGGTATTAAATCGGAATTCATAGTGTTTATCTTTAATAACAAGAGCCGCAAAGTCTCCGTTAGCATGTTCTGATTCGGCCACATACAAAAGTACACTGTCTTGATTGGTTTCTGGTCTCACATTGAATCGAATGTTTAATTTGGTGGATTTTGGCGTTTTAAATGAAACGAAACTGCCATCTTTGAATGACAAATTGTTTTCGTCCAAATGTTCAGTATATTGGCATCGATCACCCGTTTTATTTAATGGGCAAAAGCATTCAATTCCGATATCAGTATTTTCACAACGTCCAGTTCCACAAATGCCCGGTGAACAAGATAATCCTTCAACTGCACAGGTTTTACCTGTATATCCAGACTTACAAACACAAGTGAATCCCTCATCTGTTTGAGTTTCCAAGCAAACTCCATCATTTTTGCAAACATCATTAGCACATGTTTCACATGATGTTGTTCCTTCGGATAAAATCGCTTCTTTGTTTAATTCAATTTCATGATCTTTGAGAATCAAACGGCTAATGCAACCAACGTAACCTTCATGACTGGCAACAGCAGACGATGCAATATCATTAAAGTTTGGTACACCGCCCAAGTAAAGATTCTCCAATAATTCGACGCCAGAACGTGATGTTTGTGGGAATGCAACTGGATGTTGATCGTCAACCAATAAGTAACCTTCTTTACGCACTTTGTTCACTTTAACTGTATGCCATTGTTTCAATACAATCGGTTTATCGGCACGAACAATAACTGGTCCAGAACCGAAATCGAACCGGAATTCAGGGTATCCATGATTCAATGACAATGAAATATAATGTCCTTCACCGTGTCTTTGTGCATTATACAGAATCAAACCATTTTCTTTTTCTGGATTAAATGTGACTTCAAAGTTGAATCTCATGTACGAATTTTCGAGTTTTGGAAAAACTAAGTAACTTTTTGGCGCTTGTGGGAAATACGGAATGGCACCAGTAACCACTAATGTTATTGGAATTTCACTGCTTTGTGGTCCACTTGATGCAGTACAAATATATGTGCCAGCATCTTTAGCTTGGACATTATCCAGACGCAGATCACTCTGTAAATAGGAATAAATAGTTTATTGTATATAGTAATTTTGCTTTTCATAAATTTTAAATGGAATTTAAATACTTACGCTTGTAATATCTGTACCAGCAGCAAAATGGCCTTGTTGACGACTCCAATGGTATTTATTTGCAAATCGGCCCGGATTACAATTCAGCACGATATTTGAGCCAGCTTCAGCATGTTCAATTTGTGCTGGTTTTATTTCATTACGAGCTGGTGGAATTTCTACATTCAATTCATACTCTGATTCAAACAATTGACCATTACTTGTTTTGCATACACAAATGTATCGACCAGCATCGGCACTTTGAGCATTACTGATAATCAATTGAATTCCGTGTTGCTGAAAATATTGAGAAATTTTTTATTAAATTTTGAATCTATAAAATTCTGAATCTATGATTATAATGATTCAATTTCATAAATAAATACATACACGGAAATTGCTTGGGAGTCTTTGATATCCTTCTCTCTTCCATGTGACTGTACTGTCTGGTGATGATGATTTACAATCAACAACGATTGAATCGCCTGGATGCAAGAATGATCGAGCTGGTTCTAATTTCACATATGGAGCCACAGAATTGTAAGATGGTTGCGACGCTATTTTTTTTATATAAAAATATCAAACATTCAAATTCATAGAAAATTTGTAAAATGTTGAATTGTTAACGTTAGCGTTAAAGTAAGTTTTACAAAAGCTATTATTTTAGAATAAATGCATACAGACAAAGAATAACAAGTTTTAGCTTTTCCTTTAAAGTGCAGACAAGCCACATGTTAAAAATCATAGCCAATATTTCTAAATTGGGCATTAAACAATGTTAGAAAATGTAGAAATTATTTTTTAATGGATAAAAGCAAGTTATTTTTGGGGAATTTAATGTGTGTACTTCTAACTATACTAGTACTTTACAGCACGTAACTATTATTTATTGTTAATAGAAATAAAAGGTTAAAAACTACGTTCAATACGTACCAAAAAAAAGTAAAAAAAGAAGCTCTTACAAATCAAATTCATTGTTGAAAAAAAACCATGGTCTTTGTTATTAAGTATTGTTTAGTTGAAAATATGCTTGGTAGCGAAACTCATCAGAACTACTTTTAGTTCCAGCAGAGTCTTATAATTTAGAATTCCACACGAACAACAAATAAAAAGATAAAAAATTTCCCAGTTTACCACAAACTAAAACACAAAACAAAAAGCAATTTTGGCAATTTCAAAAGTGAGCAGATTTTTCGAGAATTATTGGAGTATGAAAAATATTGTAAAACAAAAGGGAATTTATAATTGTTTTTTTTTTCGAGTGCAAGCCAAAACGAATAATTTTGATAAATACAGTTGAATTTTTTTTCATCTATGTCCATATTAATTTTTCATTTTTCATACGCCGGCGAATTGGTGGAAAGTCTGATGGAAAAGTGAAAAGAAGATGACGTATAAACAGATAGCTATGTATGAAATATGTTGAGTATAAACATAACATTATGTCGAAAAAATGTGGCCAAGAATAATATCCACTGAACATTCGTTTCGAATGAAGAAAATTTTGCAATTTCGACGGTATTTCGAGCAAATGTTATGAGATGAAGAAAGTTAAGAAGTCATTGAAAGTTATATATTATGAGTCACATATAGATAGAATGTGTGTATGTATATATTGAATTTATGTTTCTGGCGTCAGTTTGGTGGATTGTGTGTGTGTTTTTTTTGTTTAACAAACCAATGAACTTAGCCGGTCTGTTTGCAGCCATGTCATCCTTCTTAGATCGATTCCGTAAATATGGCGAGCAATCCAGTTCATCTGATGAATCAGAGCAATCTACTGTGCCATCACACACCGAAACTATGTCGATACAGACGCTTGGATCTGATTTACAACTGAATTGTCTTGGCCCACAGTATTCGGCCCCTGGTACAACAATATCCGTATAGCGGGCTGCATTTTTGCGTTTTATTGTTTTTTTATTTAAATTTAGAAAAAGTGGTATTTTTTTGACATAGGAAAACGATGATTTGATGATGAGGACGATAATAAAAGTGAGTTAATTTTGTTTGGTTTTTTGTGTGTTTTTGTTTTCGATGATTGAAAAGAAAAGAAAAATGTTTTGCAACAGATTAGAATAGGGAATAAATTACATAGAAAAAATGTATCAATTTGAAGCGAATTTGTTTGTGAACTATTTTGCTAAACAACTAAACTTTCGAACAACTGTGGAAAACGAAATTTGGATTTCAAACAAACTCGCCTTTTAAAAAAAGGTGTATTTCTCTTAACATAAAAATAGTCCTTAAAAATGATGTTAAATCTTCTTTTTTTAAATTCTATTATGAAATTCCTTGATTGGAATTGTAAACTCGTTTTTTGAGAAAAATTTAATTAAACACACCTGTTATTGTTGGGCATAAATATCTAAAAACCATGCAACATAGCTGAATATAGCTGAAACCTCAATTTGCGAAAAACAAAAATAACGAGACCTTTTATTTTGTATGTTCGGAATATGGGTTTGTTTGTGTTTATAATTGTGTATGTGTTGAACAATATATTTTCATAGTTCCATTCAAAGATTTTGAATGCCTTGCGCGAAATAAAAAAGATAAAATTCAATGAATATGAAATGCTTTAAACAATAATTTGATTGAATTGGATATGGAACGGCACAAGTTCTACAATATTTCAACTGCTCGCAATTACATTTTTTCATACAGGGGACAACACATTCAAAAAGATTTTTGAACTTAGTTTATACAACATTTGAAAACCGACACAGGGTTTACTCTACATAATATTTTTCAAAACGCAACATACACTACACAAAACGCTGAGCAGTTTTTTTACTCAATAGAATTATGCATGGAGGAACAATTTTTTTAACAATTACTTAACAAACGGAAAAACATATCAAAACAAAAAAAAATATAGAGTAAAGTGTACAGGAAAATCTATCACAACGTTGTTCAAATTATTTTTACGCATGGGGTTACGTTTATTTGGGGTTTTTATACTTTAATTGTTCTAATGGCTAGAAAAAAATTGAGGATTTACAGAAATTGCTATATATTTCCAAGTGCATGCACGTTGATCGACATTAAGGATTTCAATTTTATGGAAAATAAACAAAAACAATATTTAAAATACACTATATATAGTGCATTTGTTCACATAAAATACATATTAGCTTGGGTTGTTTTGCATTTGGAATGTAATCAAAATCACAAATAATATTATTAATAAAAAAAATAAAAATAAAAACAAAATAATATCAAGTTATTTTCCGAACAATGAATATTTACAGTAACAGAAATAGCAATAAATTGTGAATATATTTTTTTTTAAATAAAAGCATTTGAATGTTGATGTAAGGTATGTTTATAACACTTTTGATTTTGTGTGCAATGGCAGTGTGTATTAGTTAGGCAAATCGTATTTTGCTTTGATATAGATCAGTAACGATTGATTACTAATCACGATTGCTGTGCTTTTTTCCTTGCTTTTAAATGGATTATAGTTCAAAATTGGATAGGAAAGTGTTTCTTTTTTTTGGTTGTTTTCGAGTTTAAATTAAAAATGAGTATCACGGCCACCGAAGACGCCGACGTGGGTACTCACGCTTTAGTACGACATCCAAGTAGTTTTGTGTCACGTAGCCATTTGGTTCGGTTTTCTCGCAAATATAACGTCCAGTATCTTCGTTATGAATGTTTACCAAAATCAAACGACTACGATCCAATTGAGCATTTTGTGGCAGTTCTCCGTTTTCACGTCTCCATTCAAACTAAACACAGAATATCGATAATAATGAGCATGAGCATCAATATAAATGTGTTTACAATAAAAGTTGCAGACTTCTTTTTGTGTTATCAATATTCTTACTCTAGCAGCTGGAGAAGATGGTGCTGTACATTCAAGAGAAACTGATTCACCTTCCAAAACCTCTTGCACACGTCCTTGTACCTCACGCTCTCTCGGAATTTCATTGTGGCTAACAATCACTTCGGCAGCTTTGGTAACATTTCCGTTTGGATTTGTTGCTGAGCAGTAATATCGACCAGCATTTTTTGGTGTTATTTGGAAGAACTCCAGGTAGTTCCCAACAATTCGAACATTTCTAGAAATTAAATTATAATTATTCAAAATATTGTACACAAATACTTTTTAAAAATGATCTTCTTACGATGGAAGTGGTCGATGGTCTTCACTGTGCCATTCAACATGAATTGGTCCATCACCGGTTGCATTACAAAGAATGTAAACTTGTTCACCGCTACGTACAGTCAATGGCATTTCCGGTTGCAATACTATTTTTGGCAATTCTGTAGGAATATGATTATAGGTTTCATGAATAAGGAAAGGTTTTTTTTTAAATAAATTTTCTGCAATTACCAACGACAATGAGTTCAGTGGTGACAATAGGATAAGTAGCATGGGGCTCGTGAACAACACATTCGTAAATACCGGCTGCATCCTGTTGGGTGTATTCAATGATCTACAAAAAAAAATTCACGTCGATTAAATAAAGTTTTCAATCATGAATTCCAATCATATAAATATATCGATTAAATTAATTGTGCATATATACCAAATCACCGCCAGACGAATGGGAACTGCTTGGTAGTGGTAAGCCACCTTGACGTCGCCATGATGTGCGTTTATTGATGTTTTCGATTTCACATGAGATTTTAGTTTGATCACCTACAGCTACTTTATATTGTTGTGGTTGATTATCTGGCCGTCTATCAGGTATTGAAAAATCAGGACGATGACCACTTGGTGGATAATTTGGCTGTGGATAATTGGGCGAATTTGGATAATATGGCGAATGCGTTGGTCTGTCCGGTTGTATTGGTCGTGAATCGATAACTTCGTCTTTGTCGTGTGGACCTAAGTGTGAAATGAACACATTACTCAACGAAATTATTTATATTCAATTTATCGAAGAAGTTAATTGTAGTATGGGTTTTATTAATACCTCTCCATCGATATTTTACTACATTGGCAGCATTTTAATAAAAAACTACACTAAATAAATAGAAAACTTACCAACATCACCCCGTTTCGGTTGAACAAAAACGGTAATGTATTTTTGATCTTCGCCAGCTTCGTTGACCGCATGGCAAATATACGTTCCTTCATCGTTACGATCGGCATTATATTTTTGAATTAAGCTTTGAGGTGTTACTGAAAATGCACTCAATACTCTAGGTATAAATTGTTCTACACCATTTCGGTCTGGTCGTTTCCATTGCACAGTGGCTGGTGGTGAACCTTCTGCCGAGCATTCCAACTTTAATTCATCTCCTTCAGTTATCGTCCATTCCTGTATTTCGGGAATAATTCGAATGATAGGTGCTTGTTGGACATTAATTGCGGACGTTTGACTAGCTGTTCCAACTAAATTTGATGCACGACATTCATATTGACCAGCATCCTCGAATGTAATGTTCGAAATTAAAATTGTACCGGCATACTTTTCTTCAACACGCTGTGAAAGTGGTGCGCGATCACTACGTGACCAAATTACATTTGGTGTTGGGATACCCGCAATAGCACGACAGCTGAGCATTGCAGATTCACCAATACGAACTGTTTGTGGCTCACGTGGATAGATTTCAACAACTGGTGCTTCACGTGCTGTGAACAATATATCACAATTTTATTAAAATAGGCTTAAAAAAATTATCCAAAAAATCAACATTTACGTTTACCAATTCCTTTTTTATAGTCTTTTGAAAGACATGCAATTAAGTTTCAAGTACATTTAATTATTTACTACTACTACTTTTCGCTTTGAAATTATTTAAAAACTTACGTTCAATGTCAATAACAGTACTGCTGTCAGCTGTTTGTCCATTTGACGCTATACATTGATAGATACCACGATTTTCCGGTTGAGCATTGAAAATCTTTAACGTGTTACCAATTTGTTGCACATTTGAACCGAGAGAGTCTTCGTGAATCTTCTTCCATGTAATTGTGGGATATGGATTACCAGAAGCTTCACAAGCCAAATTGAAATCAGAACTTTGAAGAACTGTGTACAATTCTTCGAGCGGTTTTACATAAACTGGTTGAGGTGAAACTTGTGTATCACTGTTGTCATCGTCAATAATAAAAACATCGGCAACCTCTGTAATTGATTCAATCGGTTGACCAGATGTTGATGGGGATGATGTACAAATATAACGACCGCTATCCTCAACACTAACACTAGGAATGGTGAGAATACCGTTTCTAACAATAACATGTGATGGCAATTGTGTGAGACCAGATTTGTTCCAAACTAATGTAGCATACACATTTATAACATTGCGACAATTCAAAACAAGATTATCGCCTGGACGACCATTGAAGTTTGGCGGCCGTATTTCAACTTCATGGCTAGGCTGTGGTTGTGGAAGCGGTGTTTGGTTTGATTCACGAACATAAACATGCAACACACTTGTATCATCACCGTATTGATTGCTAGCAATACATTGATAATCGCCGCTATCTGAACGACGAACTTGATTGAATCGAAGCCATTGACCATTAATGTAAGCATCAGGTGAAAGTTCACCATCCAATCGACTCCAATGGTATGTAACTGGCGAAGGCGATGTAGCTAGACACTCAACATCAGCCGGTGAATATTCATCAACATCTAGATGTGTCGGTCGTAATTCAACTCGTGGCTTTCCTGCACGACCCCCTAGAATTTATGAAAATAACAAAAAAAATATTACAAAAAAGATGAAATCGTATATTTTAAACAGAGATTACTATTGCATGAATGCATCATGTTATATGAAATCTGAAGAAAACATCAGATATTTTTAGCAGATAAATGAAAGTGATTATAACAATATATAACAGTTATAAAATGTTACAATCAATTCTATTGTTTTCACTTCCTTTATTTACTTAAAATATCTGATATTTGCATATAACTTGATGGATTCAATAGAACTCTCCGATTAAAAAAAAAAAACATTCTATCAGTTGTTGAACCTTTACGAATCATTTCTTTAAATTCCTTTGAGAATGCTTTGCGTTAAAAATAAGATATTGAAAAAGTATTTTTCTGTTAGTATTTGTTTTTAGGATTTGTTTCTATTTTCTATTGTTTAGCTTTTACCTCCTACAGTAATTGTAACACGTTGTTCGTAATGTTCTTCAGATTGAGCTTGACAAACATAAACACCGCTATCAGTATGTTGAACATTTGTGATTGTGAGAACACCATTTTCTTGGTAAGAGCGACCCGGAAGAGATCCGTCTTCTTTATGCCAGACAACTGTGATTGGAATCTAATGAAATAAGACAAATTGAATGATTTAATGATTTTTATTAAAGTGTAATTTATATTCTTACGCGTCTAATATTGTGGTATGCGGTACATGGTAGTCTGACAGTTTCTCCAACATCAATGATTTGAATCACAGGCGAGGAAATCACAACAGAAATTGTTGGTGGTGCTGGACTTTCAGTTGAAACTGCAACTTCATATTCTTGAAACGAGTTGAAATAAAATTTATTAAAAAACATTATTAACGGACATCTTGTGCAACAAAATTAATCGGACAAACAAAAATGGAGTGAGTGTTATGGGTTTTCATAATTAGTAACTAACTATTTAACGATGGAGCATTTTGTTATTTACAATTTAGTTAAAAACATTTTCGAGACTTTTTATGGTTAAAATAAATTGGAGGCAGGGCTTGTTGTTAGCGTGAACGTTGACTTCTATTTTAGCTGACAACAAGCCCCTTGAATAGAAGTGAAATCTTCGAAATACAAAGTATTTCACAAGGTTATACACATACACGGAATAGATCAAAATTGCCGGAAACTAAACTTTCTAGATGCAAAATCATTCCGAAATCTTGTTCAACAGATTGGATTAAGATATCACAAAAATTTTGAAGCAAAATAAAACGATTCACAAATTACTGCGACTTAACTATAGTCTTGTTCGAATACACACATGGAATACAGAAAATCTTCTGAACATAGAGAGAAAGAATAAAGTTGTGTATGAAATGAACCTTTTATTTTTCGTAAAACACCGATATGTTTGGTTCCATTACTATCTCTAAAAACTCTGTATGACATTTGATTGGCGTCACTTATATTAAAAATGTATAGTAAATAGAGTGAATTTGTACTATCTTCTTTTGCGCGATATTCATTTGCTGAATGTTAATTCATATGGCGAGGGGGAGTTTTTTAATGTGTAAAAAAATTAAAAATAATAATGAAATTAAATTGAATTAAATTTAAAATAATATTAATTGGGAAAGTGATAAATAAAAAAAAACAAGTGATATTCTATAAAAATATGGGTCTTATTAGGTAAAAATTGAATGAATAAGTAATAATAAAAATTGAACTTACCGGTGCATCTATCGCCAACATAACCAGGATGGCAATGACACAAAACATTTCCGTTACTTTCCAGTGTGCAGGAATCGGCATTTTCACATGGACAACGATTACATGTGCCCAAAAGACCGGCCGAACGGTCGTTTGAATCACGATAGTAGAAGTGGTCGCAAGACTAGTAGCATATTCAGAAATCAAATAAATTTTTGCAATCAAAGATAATAATATGAATAATAAATTAAATTACCTCACAACTTGAGCCAGTATAACCTTCTGGACAACGGCAAATTTCAATATCTTTAACCAAATCTTGACCGGTATTTTGTTGAACGGCTGTGTCCAAGGCAACATCGCTCAAAGAAACTAGTGATATTCCTTCTTTGAGTGTAGCACGTACTAAAATTGCTTCCAAATTACTCAAAACGGTTAGCAAATCAGCGCGTGAGGCAACCTTTGGACCACCTTCATCAATACTCTGCCAGTCTGATTCTTTGAATAGAGCTTCAGTTCGGTTTTCATTTGGATTGAAACGAGTCCACACTAACGTGATTCCATTACCACGAATAATAATGTCTTGATCGGGAATGTATGTACCATATGCTTCATTTTCAATGCCGAATGATAAATAACCACCATATGACTTGAGTTGATTGCCTAAGAAACGTTGTGGTAGACTCCAATAATATGTGTTTCCATCGTAAATACGATTTGAAAGTTTGTTTGTTGCAAAATCAATGGCTGGATCTTCATTTGTTTGAACTTCTCCGATACGATTTGTTAATGGGAATTTGTCTTCAAAAATAATAGCTGGAATTTGTTGACGGTAGAATCGCGAAGCGGAACAGGTCCGTGTTACACCTGAACAGAAACACTCAGTGCATCCAAGGGGATTAGCTTGGTCGTAATTATAGGTGCCTTGGCGACATTGATCACAACGGTGACCAACAACATTGGGCTGAAGAGAGATTACTTATTATTATGTATTTCTTTCACTTTGTTAAATTGGTGTGAATTATTACCGGACAAGCGGCTTGACTTCCATGAGATTCGTCAGTTGAGCAATCGTATTGTGTTCCACGAGTTGCGTCGCCATTATAACCATTGGCGCAGCGTTCACAACGATCACCTTCGGTATTGTCGCGGCAATTCTGAAAGATATTTTTTGTTGTTAAAAAAATTAATTAAATATAAAATGTAATGTAATTACATAAATCAAATAAAAAACCTCTATCGAGGTGAAGAACGAGTGACGAAACCAAAATTAGAAACACAAAATTATATTATATATTATATATTTTCTGTGAACTGTGAATATAAACTTAATATACATTTGTATATTCAAAACGTTGCAGAAATTCTCTCCTTTTTACTTTGAGTTCATACTGACGCAATGAAGCAACGTTCCGAATATACAAATGTATATTAAGTTTATATTCACAGTTCACAGAAAATATATCTATCAACTATTTTCGTCACAAAATTGATATCAGAAATTTTGTGTTTCTAATTTTGGTTTCGTCACTCGTTCTTCACCTCGATAGAGGTCAAGCGGGGTTGACGTATATGAGATTGGGAACTTTTTTATGCGAACGCAGCTGATCAGCGCCATCTCACATTAGTTCGAATTAGATCGAAAAACTGAATTTAATTCTGTATCATTGAAATGAAAAAGAGAAAAAACAACAACAATGTGCTATATGAGCTGTACATCTATGCGTGCAGATGCATACATACACATATACGCTTACTTCATTCTTTCATTCCATTGTTATACGTATCTCACATAGGACGAGCCTAAAAGTGTCTTTTACATGTATTTATATGCAAACGTCATTCTCTGAACTTTAGAAGAATCCCCCTACACTAATGTAAGAGGAACTAGAAGAAATGGTGAGGAACTAGAAGAAATGGTTTGTGTATTGGATAAATTTCCACTATTGTATATTAAATAAGACATGAACCACCACACATTTTCATTAGTTCGATGTTTATAGGATAGATACAGCGCCATTCAATGTCTGACAACTATACTTGTCCTATGGTATCTCAATGGTCAACAGATCTATGTAGCCATGTTACTGTTGTTGTTTTTTTCTCTTTTTCGATTCAATTCATTGTAACTAAATTGAGTTCAACTATGGAATACAAGATGGCACAGATGAGGGGAATTCGCATTTTGTCTCTTCATAGGCTTAGCCGGTTGATAGAGGTTTTTTATTTGATATCAATAGTTTTGTAAGCGCTATTTTCAATGTTAAAGATTCAAGAAACATGAATTTGAATCTTTTCCAAATACAATGAAAATATGGATTTTTAGGTTATTTTTGGATCAAAATCAATTGTGGTTCATAATGAGGAAAAGTGGTTTTTTCTGTGGTGTGTGGTATCCATATTTTTTTTTTATCTTTGGCTTGGGGCTTAAATTGATGAAATTTTCAAGAGAACATATGCAGCCTTTTTCGAAAAAATGCCCGTTATGTGTGCGGTCAACGGTCAATTTTTGGTTTTTGGCCATCATGAAATTTTTAAGTCGCAGTTGGCACCACTCGAGAGCTTACTTTAACATTTTTTGTCATTTTTGGCCATTTTTGGTCATATTCGCACTATCAAAGGCCATATCTCGAAAACAAGAATTTTCTGAGATATGAGCTATGCGGCATTTTAAAGCTTAGACTTGGGCCTAAAAATCGGTGAAATTTTCAAGTGACCAAGAAAGGCTAGTTTTCCAGCTAATGACCATTATGTGTCCTGCCAAAACCATTTGATAGCTGGCTTTAAGACCTTTCCAACGATATGCATATGTCCGGGGTGTGTCAAGTGGAAGTGCCTCGGTGTCTGTGGGGAAAAAAGTCAAAAAGTGACTTTTGGAGGCCGGCCAGCGTCAACATGGCGGCCATATCGAAAAGTGCCGGAACAAAAAAGTATTAGTTTTTTATGTACTTTAATCCCAGAAAGTTTCAAAAAGATCAGAAACAACTACGCAAAATCGCGGACACACAGACATTTTGATTTTTCATAGAAATTCATATGAAATTTTTAAATTAATAAATTTTTCGAACGGATTAACCGATTTCGACGTTCGAAGTATCGTTGGAAAGGTATTGAGCTCTAGAATAAGAATATCGATGTTTCAAGGGTCAATGACCTCATTTAGTGCCATCTATGGTCATGAAGACAGGTGGACCGATTTTCAAACTTTTATATTTTTTCTTGATCTAAAGCCCAAGGGCTTTCCAACCATACATCAACCGGGGCCAACGGCCTTCTAGGTCTGGATTTCGTATATTACGTGTATATATAGCGAGTTCGACTTTTCAACACACTAATGTGGTTTCGTCACTCGCACGTACTGCCGTCCGCTGTGATTACTTAATACTTACATGACATACACCAGTTTCAACATCACATTCATCTGAATGACCATTGCAATCACATGGTTCGCATAATCCCAAATATAAACCACCTTGACTACGTTTGTAGCCTGAAAATAAAGTTATATTCCGAATAAAATCGATTATCTATTTAGACCAAAAAAAGTGTTATTTATAATCACACCTGGTGCACAATCTTCGCAACTCGATCCTTGATGACCAAGTGGGCATGAGCATTGTTCTACTTCAGATGCACGTACATTATTGCCAGTATAGTGTTGACTGGCTGTATCCAAAATAACTTGAGATAAAGCTGCTTCGTCTGTTGTCGTTGTATATGTAGCTTTGATGAAAATATCTGAAACGTCAGCCAATGTCATTAGCAATTGCTCACGATTGATTGTAATTCCATCGACACGTTGCCAACTGTCTTCTAAAATTGGTACGGCATACGATTGTAAACTGCTTGGTGCTACTTCATCGCGACGATGATGCAAAATAGTAATATCGTTGGCACTGCGAATTACAACATCTGGTGCATTATTGCGTGACATACTTCCGCCTGGTGTTGGTTTATATCGAATGCTATAGTTAAGATTTCCACCGTATGAAGTGATTTTATTGCCGGCAAAATGTGATGGTAAACGCCAGAAATAAATATCAGTATCGCCAGCCAAATCATGGACTGAAACTTCATTATTGTAAGTGGTAATATCGAGATCACTTTCTTGTGGATTTTCATAATCGGTAATCAGTGTGAATTCATGACGATTCTGTGCAAATGTTGCACGCACCGAATCTCTGTACAATGAACTACTTGTACATGTTTGACTGACACCATTACAGAAGCACTGAATGCAACCAGTGCTCCATTTTGGATTCAAAAAAAATGAATGACTTGAGCATTGATCACAGCGTGAGCCGGTTACGTGTTCTTTACATTCGCAACGACCATCTGGATGCTGACGAAGTGTTCCACGAGGATCACAATGTGAAACTGGTTGTTCAACAGAGCATGAACCACCTGGTAATAATGGATTTCCAACGAATCCTTGAGCGCATTGTTCACATCGACGGCCAGTGTATCCACGGTTGCAATCACAAACTGGTTCATTGTCTGTGCCTAAATAGCAAGTTTGAGCAAAGTTATTTGCGCCATTTGTTGATGGGCATGGACATGGCTAAAGAAATTTAAAACACAAAACGAACACGATTAATTAACGATTTATCTTTGAGGTAACTTTTTTTTTAATTTCATACTTTGCATGGAATTTTCCGGTATGGATCGCCATAAGTTCCTGGTCTACATGGTTCTTCATCGCGTATGCAACGGCCCAACCAAGCACCACTCTCCTGTCTAGTGTATCCAGGAGCACAAGTTTCACAGCTCAAACCTGTCATTAATAAGAATATTTTTTTTTTACATATCATATTGTTGTATATACAAGTGAGTAAAGCGATATAATTTACCTGAATATCCAGCTGGGCATTTACATTCTTCGACAAGTGAGGCTGAACCAAGTCCACGATCGATAACACCTGATGAATCCATAACAATATGAAGCAATTCAACTTCACGTTGAACCGTATCAATGTATTGCAATCGTATCAAAATATTTTCCACATTGGCCAATGTGACCATGATGTCTTCACGTGAAACTAAACGTCCATCCATATTATACCATTGACCGGGTAAAAACGAAACAGAAACTGAATTACGAATTCCTTCTTCAATACGATTTGGATTTCGGTAAATCAGATTGTTTCCATTCCCCTATTGAAAATAAAAATAACATGAAATATATTTTAATATTGTATCATATATTGTGTTTGAACATTCAGAATATTCAAAAATGTTATAATCTTAAAACAAAACCCACCATAACGATGACGTCGGGTGCATCATTTGGTCTACCTTGTCCACTATATTCAACTTCATATCGGAATGAGCCTAGAAACCGAGAGAAAAAATTGCTTATTCGTATTCTATGACTTCCAAAACATAGAGGAAATATTATTTGGAGGGTGCTAGTTTTTTGGCCGATTTCAATACTTTACTCGGTGTGTGCGGAAAAATAAAATGAGATAAACATGTTTTGGTACTCACCTCCATATGATTTCAAGTCGTTTCCGAGATAGTCACGAGGAAGTGAATAATATGGTAATTCACCAGACACTGGTAAATTGGCCAATCGCAATTGAACGCCATGACGTGTTGCGAGTAAATCGTGCTTGTCAAATTCACCGATGGTAATTGAACGTTGTCCAGTCCATGGGCCATGTACACCTACTACAGTGAGTGAAGTAACCGGTGGTGGAAGTGCGTATGTAAATAGATCGGCACTTTTACATTGTGTTGATACACCAAAGCAGAAACAATTAATGCATTCATCTGGACGTGTTGCTTTGTCATTGAAAAATCCATTTTGGCATACCGATTCTTCGCCAGATACACTTAAAATTGTATCGGGAACAACAAATTCTGTGCCTTGATTGTTGAGCAATTCGCATGAGTAGGCGCCCGAATCTTCTACGCCGATATTTGAACAAGTCAAAACACCATATCCATTATGACTTGTGGTAGTACCTAGGGTTAATCACATAGAAAAGAATGGAAATAATGGAAATGAATCAATAAGTAATGGATGGAATAGTAGATTTCGTGATAATACATTTTTCTGGAATATGACCCCAGTTCAAACGCCATAAAACCAGTGGCGTTGGAACACCAACTGCTCTGCAAGTAATATTGAATGTATCGCCTGGTTGTAAGTAAACACTTGGTGGCGGTGGTTGTGCAACAGTTGGTTTAGTGCAACCAATTTCATCGGATCCATCGATGCAGTCTCTATGGCTGTCACATTCAAATGATTTTGGAATACATTGACCGCTGTGGCATTCATATTCGCTTCCCGAACATCGTGATCCAGGTGCAACTGTTCCATTACAATCTTGTTCATCAGAACCGTCTTCACAATCATTCTCGCCTATGATCAACAAAAAATGATATTTGAGTTGTTTGTTTTCGACAAACTAGTTAGATTTCCGAACATATTACTCATTAAAATTTTACTTACCATCTGAATGTAAAAGAAGTAGTAGTAATCAAATCGGCATTTTTTAATGTCAACCAAAAGTGTGAAAGTATCCAGTACGAATGTTTGCATTTACCATGAAATATTAAATTATTATACTAAATTATATTAAATTATTATTGACATATTTTATGTATCTATATGAATCTTTTCTCTTTTTTTTTTGAATTAGAAAAAATTGTTTAAACTCACCGCATCGCCATGTTTTCAAAACGCACTTATTATTATTACATTTGAATTCATTTGGTTGACACCGACCATTAGCTGTGCAACTAGATTCATCAGAACCATCGGCGCAGTCTTTGTAACCATTACACAATACGTGCTTTGGAATGCATTGACCATTCATGCATGTGGCTTCATTCGGTGAGCAAGCTGTTCGTGGACGTTCCCAATCAACATTACCTTAATTAAATAATAAGCGGTGCAATTAGTACACAAAAAGTGTATTTTTTGAAGGAAATATTCCATTTTAAAGGAGTATTTTTTGATGAAATGTGCTAATTACCCGATGACATTCATTATACAGAATGCATGTGAAAAAGAAGGATTTGTTTGTTATGTATAAATGTATTGAGAAACCAAGAAATCAAATAAGTATCCGAGAAGGAATCTGAGACTTCTTCCGAGATTTCATTGAGGTGTAACATCGCCATCCAAAAAACTGCATTTTTGTATGGTGGTGTTATATTTCAATAAAAACTAACGAGAAATCTCACACGCCATTAACAAACCTGGACTAAAAAATTCGAAACCAATATGCGGTACTTTTCCAAACTTTAGTTTCTTTTTTGGTTGTATAAAATCATACAGAATCCATACTTTGGTTTGCATGTAAAATTATTTCAGTATTCAATTAAGAACTTTGAATTTTTTTTTGGTATTATAATTATGAAATTAAAACCAAATTGTTGAAATACTTACGACGCTCAACTTGAAGATGAACACCAACTTGAGCTCCGGGAGTTGATGATGGGACTCCAACTGCTTCACAAATATATTCTCCACTATGTTCCAACTGTTCAAATGAAGGAAAGATTCAATGAAAAGATTTACGAATACAGACAGTGACACTTAACCCAAATAATAATAACTAACTAACTATAATTTGACATATCCAATGAGCTGTCAAAAATTGTTGGTGTGAACACAACTTACTCGAATATTCGGAATTTCTAAGCGACCTTGTTGATCCTTTGAACCAAGTGGCAATGGGCGACCACCTGGTCGAGTCCATCGAACTGGTACACGTAATACACCTTCATCACGGCACTGGAATACAACTTCCAAACCTAAAATATTATATGAAATTTCAATTACTATTTGAATCGTTGCGGCGAAAGAGTAGCTCTTATTTTTCTCCAAATAATACTGCAACATAAAGTTTTTTATGAATAGTTTATTTGTTGTATTACAACAAATAAACCGTGTGAAAAAAACTTCATGTTGCAGTATTATTTGGAGAAAAATAAGAGCTACTGTTTCGCCGCAACGATTCATTTGGCAATTAACATTGTTCGCAATAAATTTCGTTGAGTGAATTTCTTCATGCGTTGATTCGGATTTGACTATACTGTTCTTTTTAAATAAATATAAGTTGGAAAATCTTAAAACTGAAAATCCAAAAACAAATTACTATTCATGAGAAATCTTGAGTCATTTTTCAAATTCATAGAATAGAAGTTTTAGAAATTTTGAACATGCACACTGTAGAAATGGTAGATTAATATCAAATGAGTTGGTTAGTATGTTGGCATGCATATTTCGATAGATTCAGAATCGGACTTACCCTCACGAATGTATCCTTTGTGATTAGCAATTGAAATTAATAGATTTAAATTGTAGTAAGATAGAGTTTAGAATAAACAAATAAATACATGTTTTCATTTTATCGTTGTTATATTAAAAAGCACAGTTGTTGTTTGAAATCAGTGAGAAAAAAGTCATTAAGCATAAATTACAATTACGTTTAAACAGTCGAGAAAAGAAGTAAAATAAAAACAATTTGTTGAAAAAAATAATAATATTGTTTTGAGAGAATTAATTATCATTCCTACTTACTTTCTTTGATCGTTTGATTGTTTGGATATGTTTTCAATTCCAAGCGATGGTTGATTCCAGATGATGGTTGTGGGAGTTGTTGTGGTTTTGATGCTGCAATTAAAAGTCATGGTAAATTAGAATTTATATCATTTTCGGGCGAACAATTTTTGAATTATAATTGATGAGTAAATTGTGTATTAATTTATTAACCGTTTTGTTTGATGCATATAAATGATTGACTATTAGATGTGCTTTTCATTAGTCATCATTAGTTTTTTGTATAAGGGTTTTAATTTTGGTAGTTTGGTTGTATCACTTTTCGATATTTGAATGTGAGTGTTATCTCTTGGATATTGGATTGTATGTGTATGTCGAGAGACTTACTATTTGTATGACAATCAAGTTCATCGCGTTTTTGTTCATCAATGCATGGGCCATTTTCGCATCGGAACATATTCAAAAGACACCCTGTTCCAATTACATCTTCACCTTTGTGTGTGTGTGTGTGTGTGTGTGTGTGTGTGTGTCAATTTGAATTTTGTGTGATTTTCCAGAATGATATATATGTGAAATATGTAATTTTTTGTTTCATTTTTTTAAATGATGAGTAAATGAACAAATCTTGTGCTCGTGAAGAGCCAAATAAAACATTTTCAATGGTACAAAATGAGAAAAAAAAGCGAAATGCAAATGTAAAAATTATGTATACATACTGCAAAAACGTTCATCGGAGTAGTCTTTACAATTGTACCGTCCATCACAGTATTCTCTAGCATCAATACAAGTTCCATCGTGACATTGCCATTGCCCAGGACGACAGCCTAAATGACGTAACATAGAAACAATAGATATGTTCACATTTTGTTTTACTGTATGATACAAAAAACTCACTTTTGCACAAGTCCGCGGATTCGTCGCTACCGTCCTGACAGTCGAATCTCCCATTGCAAGTCAATTGTTGACGAATGCATTCTCCATTTGCACATGTAAATTCGTCTTCTCCACAGATGTCTATTTTATTTGTATGATGATGTGAAATAAAAATACAATTAAATACATTGCTCTTTTGAATGATAACTAGAACTGTCTTCGTATTTTGAAACGTGCAAGTCAAGCCAAAATTGTTACATGCAAGATGCAATCATCAAAAACAATAAAAAAAGTAAGACTGGAAAACTTAGATAATAAACGAAAAATGTTCATGCAAAAAAATGAAAATTGCTGCCATCATAGAAATCTGAATATTCTCTAAATCATTTACATTGTCGTTCACTTGTACAATAATCTGTGTATACGCCAAACGAAACTGTTTAGTTCGTAGGAGAAATCCGGCACTCCTCCACACGTTATCCAACAATCATATCTTCCGTTAACAAAAAATATATCATGCAATGGGGACACACTCGCACGATCAATACCTTTCGAACGTTGTACATTTGCCAAATTACGGTATGCAATGTACAAAATGCTACAAGTAAAACTCCAAGTTAAAGCAAGAACAAACAACTATTGGAGCACATTGGTAATGGTTCCGTTGAGAAGAAAAAATTCATTCAAATTGAAGTTGAAATGTTTAAAGAAATGATCAGAAAAACGATACCAATTGTACAATACGAAAATACTATCAATAATAACTGTCAATTCAGAAAATAGTTTTGCCCGATTCGACATCGTAACACACTTTAAAAAATTCGACCAAAGTGTATATAAAATAAACAGTTTGAAATGGTCGATTTTCGGCCACGGGCGGCCCTAGTAACAAATAAATATACATACGGCAAAAACCTTCATCGGAATAATCTTTGCAATTGTATTGTCCATCACAGTATTCTCTAGCATCAATGCATTCACCGGACGTGTGACACTGCCATTGCCCAGGACGACAGCCTAAATGACGTAACATAGAAGAAACATAGAAACAAACACACAATGGATTTGTCCACGTTGTGAATACATATACAGTAAAACCCTAGGTAAAACCTTATCATCATATCTTCCGTTCTTTCGCACTTATCATACAAACTAAAACATGATAAAGTAGCAATCATTTCGACGATTCACAAATCAGCAAAATACCTTTTCAAATTGATGATAATATAACACCCGGTACGACTAAAGCATATATCTGTCCCCTTAGCTACAAACAGCCACCTGGCGGTCAGATATGTTATATATGTGTCATATATCCATAACATTGCTTTGACGTCTTACCTCAACAAAGGACTCTGTATTCTAAATCGAATGATGAAATTTATTTCCAATGTGACATCAAATATTTTCCCGATCGAAATGTTGTTGGAATATTCACAGTAAATTTTATCAACACTCTGTTATTTCGAAATTAAAGCAAAAATGAACACAAAACCAACTGTGAATATATCCATTCCACAGCAAACAGCGAACACACAAGATTGTTGAAATTGAAATGACAATAAAACCAATTGATCACCCAAACCACGCTTCAAACACTCTCATATAATTCTCAAGAAATCCTCTTAAAAACAAAACAAAGTTTTATTGTAAACAAAATCGGTTGGTGCGATTGTAGTTTCAAAGTGATGGAAGTTGTTTATACTAACAATACTGTCACACGATGCGAGCACATTTTTAATACATATAAATGAATATCTTTGGATTTGGTTTGACACATATACACCGCGCCAATCGAAAAATGTCAGTTGCATTTCGAAAATTCAAAATAATAATTCCACAAATAAAGAAAATTAAATGCAATAAATGACGTGTAAAAGAGTTCTTCTGCAGAATTTTAAATTAAATTAGGCAAATCTCTTTCCGAATAAATTGTTTATTTTTTTATTTGAGCGTAAGATTTAGATTTTCAATTTAAAACTTAATGTATTGGGTTGTGTTCACATTCTGGTGGTCATTTTCGTGTCAAATGGAACGGATTATGTGCATAGTTTCCACGAATTCCAATGGAATGGATCCACTTGTTTCTTTCGCTTCCAATAATATTTCATTTGACAACATAATGTGAACACAACCCAATACATTAAGTTTTAAATTGAAAATTCAAATATTACGCTCAAATAAAAAAATAAACAATTTGTTAGGAAAGAGATTTGCATAATTTAATTTAAAACTCAGCAGAAGAACTATTTTTTATACGTCATTTATTGCATTTAATTTTCTTTATTTGTGGAATTGGTATTTTCAGTGTTCGAGATGCAACTTACATCTTTCTGACATTTTTCAATTGGCGCGGTGTGTATGTGTCAAACCAAATCCAAAGATATTCATTTATATGTATTAAAAATGTGCTCGCATCGTGTGACAGTATTGTTAGTATAAACAACTTCCATCAGTTTGAAACTACAATCGCACCAACCGATTTTGTTTACAATAAAACTTTGTTTTGTTTTTAAGAGGATTTCTTGAGAATTAGATGTGAGTGTATGTAGCGTGGTTTGGGCGATCAATTGATTTTATTGTCATTTCAATTTCAACGATTTTGTGTGTTCGGAAAGCTGTTCGCTGAGAAATGGATATATTCACAGTTGGTTTTGTGTTCATTTTTGTTTCAATTTCGAAATAACAAAGTGTTGTTAAAATTTACTGTGAATATTCCAACAACATTTCGATCGGGAAAATATTTGATGTCACATTGGAAATAAATTTCATAATTCGATTTAGAATACAGAGTTCTTTGTTGAGGAAAGACGTGATATTTATAATGCGTTCTTCATTACTGTTTCATTTGATTTGTGATAGAAGTGTTTTTATCTTATTGTGTTTGTGATCTATGCTATATTTGGTGCATTTTTTTTCTAAATTTGTGTCTATTTTTTATTTTCGTTTATTTGTATCAGTTCTTCAATTTGTATCAGTGTACATGTTTGTTGTTATTGGTGGTCAACAAATTGTTATGATTTAACATTCGCTTAAAACCTGTCATTGAGACTTTTTACTGACTCGCAAATCACATACAGACTCTTATTGATTAGTATAATTTACATGAGACTCTTGCGATTCACATATGTCATAAGCCCCTTGTGTTATGGATATATGACACATATATAACATATCTGACCGCCAGGTGGCTGTTTGTAGCTAAGGGGACAGATATATGTCTTAGTCGTACCGGGTGTAATATAAAGAATTCTTATTTTCCAATTGAATTAGCTGCACTCTACTAGTTTCACAGGTAACATTGGTATCAGCTATTTTAACAGAAAACTAGCAAGCAAACAATGAATGAAAGGAGCAAAGAGGCAATTAATTGAAAAATGTAATTACAGTCGATTTCCAATCATACTGTTAATATTTAATCCAATATTTATTTTGGTCAGTTGATATATCAACGACATTAACCATGTAATAAGTTCTATCCTTCGCTTTGAGTAAATAAATGAATTCCAACTAGATCATTATGTAATGTATGAAAAAGATCAAGAAGTTAATGTGGTCCCATGTCAAAACGACATTTTCAATCACAGTAAAATTGAATTATTCAGTTGATGCAGTTTAAATCGTAGATGCATAAAAATTCGTCATCCGACCAGTATATTTCATTTTTATTTTGTTTATTTCAATAAGAAATTTTTGGGTGCCACAAAATATGGTTCAAGGTGAGAAAAATAGTATAGTGCGAGCATTGTAAAATGTTAAGTTGAAGTATATAAATGAAGAAGCAGTGTTAGAATATAAGAAAAATAGAGTAATCCTGTGAGTTAAATGCGTGAATTTGGTGCATCATATTTTGTTGTCAATTTATTTGAAGTGATTAATTTCCAATGCATGAAATACTCACTGCAATCAATTTCGTCACTGCCATCTCTACAGTCCCTGACTCGGTCACATTTTTTTGTGTTCGGCAAGCAAACATCCTCATCGCCACATTTAAATTCATCATCTCTACATTCTTCTGGTAGTACTGTGAATAAAAAAAAATTCCGTATTATTTGAACCTATACCTACCATATTATGAATAAATTACCTTGACAGCCACTTTCGTCATAGCAATCACTACATTCACAGCGACGATTACATCTATCGGCTACACCAAAGCAGCCACCATTTGGACAAGTATATTCTGGACAACGTGTTGGCTTTAGCCAAAAAAGGGCAATCATTTATTTTCAATATTTGATTTAGAAAGTGATGTTTGATGGGCAAAAGAAAATTAATTACATGTGGGGGTTGTGAAGTCGTGGTGGTAGTTCTTTCAATTGGACAATTAGCTGCATCTTCATCTCTACCATCGGCGCATTCATTGTTTCCGTTACAGAGAATCGATCGGGGATGGCATTTATTATCGCATGATATTTCATCTGGGCGACATTCCGGAACTATATTGAAATGACAAACAATTCATTTGAGATATATGATTAAAAATGCTACAAGGAATCCCATTTTTCAAAATGTTTATTGGTTACATCTGTTCTAATTTAAACTGATGATATATGTGCATTTATATAAACAGTACCAACTATACACAAATAGTAATATTAACAATACATATGAAATAAAGAATATATTAACCATATGCACAAAATGTATGAGCGCTAAACTTTACCGTTGCATCATTTTTCAATGATGTGAGCAAATGAGACTTAGTGTCTTGTTTGAGCTATTTTATGAGATGCTTACCTGGTGTCACATCAGGGCAATTGCTTGGGGCTTCGTCTGAATTGTCTATACAATCCATGGTACCATCTGGGAAAAATTCCGGTTGGATTATACCAATTTACATTCGATTCATGCTTGTAAAATCACCAATTAACCATTTGAATTTTTCGAATACTTGATTACTTACCGCAACGGAATTCTTCATTTATACAATTTCCGTTATCACATTGCCATTCACCATCGCCACATGGAATATTATTTGATGATGTTGTGGCTGTAGAGTATTGTGTGTTCGAATATATTTTTAACATAGAAAAAAACACATAAATTTTATATAAAGTGCAAACATTCACAAAAGAGTTCGCAAGAGTTTTTTGTTTCGTTTTTTTTTTTCAACACATAAGCATGCAGCATATATTAAACATTCGGTCGGTTGTATTTAGGCGCAATAGCAAACATATGTACAAAAATAAAGAATAAAACAAATATAAACCAATTGAATGATGTATTAGTGTTAGAAATAAAATATGTAAAATGATTTGCGAATTTGTTATGTGGTTGATTTCACAATATTTATAGTCTATATTGTTGGCAAAATCAACTGAATTCTCTAGAATAAATACAGCGTATGATACGGTCGCACACCAAAGGTTGTTTTTACATACATTTTTTGCTGTATTTTGTATGACGGTGTTTCGCTTTGAAATGCAACCTTTTCATACGCTGTTTTTATTCTATAGCAATCAACTCTATTCAACATTGACTCAAATGGGGAATAGATTTTTTTCTTCTCAAATTGAAGAATATAGAATAGATATATACACGTTTTAATGTTTATTCAAATTTGAGCATGCGTTTTACGAGCGTTTTACCAATGATTTTATTGTCAGAGTCAACATCGCTATCGTTACAGTGTAATTCATCGGATCGGTCGTTGCATTGATAAACACCGTCACACAAATGTTGCCTCTCCACACAAAGTCCATCGCCACAACGAAATTCTTGTGCATTACATGAATATTCTAAATGAAAACACACATATGTAAAAATGAAAGCAAGCAATCATGCCTAATTGCAAATAATTTAAGTAGCTCTATTTTGTGTTTTAGTACAATTTTCGTCACAAATTTTGAAAATCCAATGTCGAGGGTTAAATTCAAATTTTAAAAACATCAAACCGTTTTATTTGGTTTTCTCTAATTTGTTGGCCGGAAAATGATTGTCCGAAAAATTGAATCATCCTTCACCCACTTGAATTCAAGTACTAACAAAGACTTACCACAATGAATCTCATCACTAAGATCCATACAATCATGAATTCGGTCACAGCGCGATGATTCCAAAATACAGTCTGAATTGTGACATCTGATACGGTTTGCGAATTATTTGATTTTGTCAAACCAATGTTAAGACAAGCGAGGAAGTGTATTGCGTATAATGACAAAAAAGGTGGAATTCAATCAATTTATTGATTAGACCAAGAGAGATAGAGAAATTAAGATAATGGGATTGAGGATGGATTATGGCGAAGTATAATTTCTTACTGGAAGGCGCCCGGTTGGCAAGATGGACATGCTAATTCGTCACTACCATCTAGACAGTCTTTTACACCATCACACCGACCTTCGTTGGCAATACACAAACCGGAGCTGCATGTAAATTCGTATTCAGCACAGGGAACTACAAGAAATGGGTGCTGTATAATATCATCATGTGTTTGTTGTTATTGAAAAAGGAACTTCATTCGATTTGATTCAAGTGGAAGTGGAGATTAGAACAAAAATAATACAGACTTAAGGATGAAGTTTCGGGGAAATTACAAACCGAAGGGTTTTGTGGAAATTAAAAAAGGAGAAGGACGCGCACACCAACCCACATGGTGAGCCCACTGATAAACGTCTTCGTACAGTAACGCCACAAACGATAATAGACGGTGACGTTTTAAAACGGTGTTTCAACACCAGCTATTACTCTTGTCTTACAGAGTATGCTACGATTTAACGTTGTGCGTGAATGTTTTTCCACATCTAACTGCTTAGTTGTACTTGTTGAACGTCGAATCGATTGTGGCGTTAGTGTACGTAAACAATCATCTAAAATTATATGTACTTCTATACAATGCGCTCACTGTGTGCACCAACCTTCGTGAATATTATCACAATCTTTTTCATCGCTAGCGTCCAAGCAATCGATCACCGAGTCGCAGACTTGTGATGATAGGATACATTTGGTTTGATCGCATTGGAATTCGGAACCCAAGCAAAGCTCATTGTCGTCTTTGTACGATAACGATTTGATGCCCATAGTTTTAAATACGTATGTTGATGATGAAGAAAATGAAAAGGGTGAAAAAGAAAAAAAAACAATATGATACAAAAGCAGTTTATAAACATATTGATAAATATGGCAAGAAAAGTATGAATAAAAATAAAATAAATATCTTAAGTATACATTTTTACAATACCTAAGCGAATGAAATTGATGCTACGGGTGATTTAGGTATAATATGTGCGCAAAATATGTTAGTGTAAAGACCATATAACAAATTAATCAATTAATTTTCATTTAATCACTCTAGTCCGAATCTCCTTTTAATAGGTTACATTTAATTTTGTATCTTTATTTTGTATATATACTTTATCATGTTAGAGAAAAAAAGCAATAATTAAAACACCTGTGCCTTGACAGAGGTATTCATCACTTGAGTCAATACAGTCAGGGACGCCGTTGCAAAATTTGTACGATTCAATGCATGTGTTGTCCGAAATGCATTTTATCTCACCCGTTTTACACGTCTTATCATTATTACTCGAATTGTGTTGAACTAGAAATATGTGATTGGGATTTGATTGATTTAAAAAAACTGTGATCATTGAAGTATAAATTTTAAACATGAAACTGTTACGGATTGTCTTGTTAGGGAAAGATAAACACGAAAATATCCACATTCAATATTCGACAGATACTTTTTAGGATAGGATTTACTGGATCATTATTTGTGAATAATATTTGACGACTTTAAAAATGTCAAATCAAAAAATCAACATAATTTAAAGTGAAATTAATTTGAACATAAAATAAAATACAAATACAGTAAAATCAACTCATTTAATTCTTCAACGAGTTATAATTTTTTACTAAAATTCTTTCATAAAATGAAAATTAATTTCATTGCATATATAGTTAGTGATAAATTAGTGAGAAATATGGAAATGGGGAAAATTTATAAGACCGTTAGCCACCCAACATACATTAGTATAAATACAAAATTGTTAACTTGACGAAGTGTTCATTTTAACTGTCGCCTTACCACAAACGATTTGACTCTCATCGCTATTATCAATACAATCGAAGAAACCGTCACATTTTTTCAAAATATCCACACATCCGCCACCTGTTAGGCATTTGAACTATTTGCGATATTTTTTGAACACGAGCGGTTTGAGTGTGTATATGTGGGCGTAAACGTATGTGTTCCATTGTCATTGAGAAAAACAAATAAACAAGTGTCAATAAATGAATTCGTTTTTTTACTCGAAAATCAATTCGACCAAGCATAGATTGGTTTTTTATAAACAAACAAACAATTAAACATGTTTTTTATGATTGATTTTGAGATTTTTGGAAGATCTTGTGGAACAACAACGATTAAAACTAACCTGATAAGGAGCACAATCACAAATTGACGCATCTTCATCTTTAAAATTTTGGCAATCGCGATGCCCATCGCAGACAGCTGAACGGTCTATACATTGATTACTTTCATCTAAACATGCAAATTCACTTTGATCACACGATGGATCTTCGATATTTCCCGCTATAAAATGTCACAAACAAAACCGATATATTTAGCAGACTGAGAGAAAGCAAAAGACAGCATAGCATTTAAAATGGTGATGAAGAAGGAAAATAGACAACCACAAAGACAACCACAGACACAGAGGTAGAAAAAAGATAGTATAAAATCATGTGGAAGAAATTAATTTACGTGCACAGTTTAGCTCGTCCGAATTATCGTTACAGTCGACTATGCCATTACATCGACGTTTTGCCTCTATGCAGATCCCATTATTGCACTTAAATTTATCCTTAGTGCATGCATTAGCTGACACCGCAAATAAATTGTTTTAATGTGTTAATTCGATGTGCATTCCCATCAAAATGAATACAAAAGATCCATTCAAGCCATTACATGTTTTTATTTTCGTTTGGTTATGGTAATTTTTTCCGTGATCCAATCGTATTATGAATAAAATAAGATATAAATACGTTATTTTCTATTTAATTTTAAATATTATATAAAATAACAACACGTATTCAAAAGTAAAACTAATGAGTTAATAAAACACAAACTATTAAAATTTTCCGTATTTCTGTATGACGTAAAAATAAGAAAAACAGAAGAGAAATACGACATCGTGATACCACTCATTGAATTTTTGGATTTGTAATATACATTTTTTAGCGAATTTTAGACCATATTGGATAGATAAATATCTGACCATGAATTTACAAAATAGCACCTAATTTGTGAAATATCTGGGACATCTATCTATCCAATTCTAATGTATGTTTGAGACACTTACGACAATTTTTCTCATCACTCAAATCGGTTGGATCTTTTGGTTTGATCAAACGACAATCGTAGAAACCGTTACATTTCTTTTTATAAGGAATCGTTACATTGTTTTCACATGCAAATGTTTTTTCTGAAAAGTAGAATATAATTATAGTGTATTTTGTGGAGATGCCACAGTTTAGAGTCTTGTACTGTGGTCACTTGCTAAATTTGATGTTATTTCCTTCATTCAAATCCGCTTGTATATTGTTGAAGCTCAAGATTTTTTCCCGAATAAAACTTACTTTATACTTTAATACGACGTTAAATGTTACGTAATTGTTATTCTCATAAAGATCAAAGTTCTAAAAAAAGCAATTCCCATTGAGCAAAAACATTCAAAGGAAAACGATTGCACGCAACATTTCAAAACAAATCACACGAAATCTATCCAAATCAAATCTAAATGCCTAACATATTACAAAGTAAAATGAAATACACTATTTTTGCCATACACATAACAACAAGATGCATTTCTCATGTGTCATAGTTCAAAATTGAATACAAAAGCCATATTTATCAATTTAAATTTCCATTGGATGAGGCATAATGAATGCTACACTCTTATATCGGTGGTATTAATATTTAGTATTTTGGGATTTTCAGCTACGATTAATCCAAAAGGACTAAAAAGTAATCCAATGGGATCATTTTATATTTTTTAACTTGAGTTCAATAAACACTTTTTTGTTGTTTGTAAAAAAATATCTCAAAGTGAATCTTCCTTTGGAACACTGTTTCATATTGTATTGACATTTACATGAAACTTCAAATGCTTGTCATTGTTATTCGATTGCAAACATCACCTTTCACGGTCTTATGTTTATTGTGTAAATCACGTACACCGTTGTCGAAAAAACTAAATTTTGTTCCTGTTGGAATTTCGATTAGTTTGTTTATTAGAATATAATTCTCAATAGAATCCTTTTTTCCATCGCTTCTGTGCAATTCATTAGATTTCTGATAAAATGTTTTATAGCTAGTGAAAACAAAGTAAAGAATTGATTAGCGAATGGTTTTCAATAGAATTTTGGGTCGGTTCGCATCAATATCAACATTCCATGTCACAACCGCTTTTGTGTGCTCAGTGATTTTTTTTCAAAAGGGTAACATGGCAAACATTTTGCAAAATTTTAAAAATCCATCAGAATCTTGAACAACCGAAACACTATCGTAAAATGCGTGTTGACGAAAGATTAATTCTTGCTTTGTTGACGAATGATTTTCAATAAGATTCTTTTGCATCGAATATCAACATAAATTCCGTATCACAAGTTTGGGAGTGTAATTTAGCGAACATTTTGTCAGCATTTGAAATCGGACTGCAGAATTATGAAATTGTATTTATGCAAGAGTGAAATGAACGCATTGATATTTGTTTATTGTGAACCCGTTCGATCACATGAATCGGTGATTGTATATTTTGATAAATTTTTAGAGGCCTGTTTTTAAAATACCAGGAACCTATAAATTCATCAACAATAAGTCTCTAATTAATAATAATTGCTAATTAGTCTAATAATTGCTAAGTCAACCGATTTTTGAGTATAATTAATAAATTTATTTAATGGCATGCATAGTCTATCATAGTCATTGTAGTTTTTGATAAATATAACAGTGGCCTGAATATTTTCAAACCGGCACTTTTATATTTATCAAAATATATTTTGATTATTCATCAATATTTCGAGGTATAAATATCGGTGGAGATTCCAATACGTTAACAGTTGCTAAAAATGAGCGGTCACAAACGGAATCACGAATCGGCGTTTAAGCCACGAAAGAAGATAAAAATTAAAGAACACCAAACAATTAAAAAAAGTGCTCGAAAAGGTTTAAAAGTGAATCTGCCCATTAACACTGGAAAATTTGCTCAGTTGATTGACGTAACATATGTCCATAAAGTTTTGGCAGTAAATTCAGACGTTTATTACGCAGCATTAAAAAATTGAAAAATGTCAACCAACGCACGCAGTGCATTTATCGGTACCTCGAGACTACTGTCAAACCCAATCCGACATAATACAATCGTTCGCAATGTCGTACAAATTGGATTTACGAAAGTCTGTCGCAAATTGTTTTGGCAGACTAAGTACAAAAGAAATTCTTCGAGTGTTTAAAGACAAGCCAATCTCACCTCGAACCATATTTCGTGTTTTCAAGGATTGCCGGGAAGGTAAGGAACCGGAAAACAAAAAGAAATCTGGTCGTTCACCAAAACTAAGTGTCAGAACAACGAAAAGTCTGCTGTCAAGTGCAAAAAACAAGATTGGTCAATCAACACGACGATTATCACGAAAATTCGAAGTTTCAAAGTCCACAGTGCATTGTATTTTAAAGAAAAACAACGTTTTCTATCGTAAACGTAAGCGAGCACCAAAATATACACCGAGACAACTCGAAATAATACCAAAATGTTGCCGTGCACTTCGTGATAAACATTTTTCAAATGGAAAATTCATGATTTTGGATGATGAATCATACTTTACTTTTGCGCACCATGAATTGAGTGGAAACGATGGCTTTTACACTGACAACATTGAAACAACACCAGACAATGTCAAATATGCCGGTAAGTCAAAATTTGAGCCGAAGGTATTGGTGTGGGTGGCCATATCATCGAAAGGTATTTCAGCGCCAGTTATTCGACCACAAGGAGCCAAAGCGATAAATTCTGATATCTATATTGATCAATGCTTGCCAAAACTGAAGCAATTCATTGAAAACCATCACGCCCGAGACGAAATCATGTTTTGGCCGGACCTTGCAGTCATTATGCGAAAAAAACATTGAATTGGCTCACTGAACAAAATATTCCTTTTGTACCGAAAAAGGACAACCCACCAAACATTCCACAGGCACGTCCAATCGAAGATTTCTGGTCGGCTCTCAAACGTAAAGTGTATGAGATGGGCTGGGAAGCTCAGAGCGAGCAACAGTTGATGGGTCGAATCAAGCGAAAGTTGAAGGAAATGGATGTATCGGTCTGCCAGAGCATGATTTTGAAGGTTCGAAGTATACTACGAAAAATTGAAGACAATGGCCCTTTAAGTGTAATTTGAATGTGCTATTCGATAGCTCATAAATAAAGGTTTACGCCAATAAAAACGAATTTGATATTGTATGTTTGTTGTCCAAATGGCGAACGTCTGAATTTACTGCCAAAACTTTATGGACATATGTTATACGTATTAGAAATGACACGGTGCTACATATTGGGTGCACTGAATTTGCATTATTTCACCAGTGATCATTTCAAGCGCAGTACAGACGAGCAAATCGAAGCATTCTATACTCAATTCGTCGACAAAAATTTTTTTCGAGATTGGTTTTACGGCGTTCAGTTCATTGAGCATGCATTTAACGACGCCAGAGAAAGCGGGTACAGGTTGTGTTACGGCATTTGGTACTATTGCCAAAAATACGGTGTTCGAGCTCCAGTAATTGGAGGATTCGGGAATGTAGTTGAATACGCAGTACAAATGTTTTATACAAATTACAAAAATAATATTTGTATGCACGCTCACTCACGCATCCGAAAGTTTTTCACACATCAAAACGCGAGCAAAGCACAAATTGATGACACCATGGATTTCTTATTCAAGCAAAACTCCAACTGTGTGCCAGACCTGGATTTGATGTGGGAACTGGAAAATACATTAAAGCCAATCCGATTCGACGATGGGAAAGGGTACTTTTTTGCTATGGAAAGCAATTGGTTCAAATACATACCAATATTCCTGAATTTGCAACAGTGAGTTTTCGTTCATTTATTATTGTGAATCAAACGATTGTATTTTTTATGCGACTTTTTTCCATTTTGAAAATTCTACAAATATCACACGAGTAATTTTATCAATTTATTTTTTGGAAAATATCAACCGGCTAAGCCTATGAAGAGACAAAATGCGAATTCCCCTCATCTGTGCCATCTTGTATTCCATAGTTGAACTCAATTCAGTTACAATGAATTGAATCGAAAAAGAGAAAAAAAACAACAACAGTAACATGGCTACATAGATCTGTTGACCAGTGAGATACGTATAGCAATGGAATGAAAGAATGAAGAAAGCGTATATGTGTATGTATGCATCAGCACGCATAGATGTACAGCTCTGTGTGGCCGTGCTATTGTTGTTGTTTTTTCACTTTTTCATTTCAATGCTACAGAATTAAATTCAGTTTTTGCATCTAATTCACACTAAAATCAGATGGCGCTCATTAGCGAGATTCGCAAAAAAAAGTCTCCAATCTCATACAAATATACACCGGCTGGAAAATATACAAAAATAGGTACATTCGCAATCATGAACGTGAACGAAAAGCCGCATTGAAGCGAGGTGAACGAACCGAGCTTCGTGAATACAGAAATTTCACCGTGGTACCAACGTCATCGTTCGAAAGACATTACATTCGAATTGATCGTAGAGTGTTTTATCGCATGTTGAGACAGATAGAATGTCCACATCGATTATTTCGCAATAAAAACGGCGGCCCAAAACAGGAGGAAGACATCAAAAATAAAGAATGGGATGTATTATGGCGTCTGTATTTCGACATCGATAGCATCGAAAGAGAACCGAGAAACAAAAATGATGGCCATGCAACAATAAAATTCGACAACTCCATTCAAACAGATGGTGTCGGTATGTCATTTTTGATGGAACGAACAAAATTCATCATTGAAAAAGACGATGAAGAGCGTATGAAAGAGACACAAGAGATGCTTCTGAAAAGCCAACAAGTGTATGGTCTCGATCCTGGACTACGTTTGGTCATTGGTGGTGTGCGCATTAACAATTTCAACGATCGAAATAATCGCACTGAAACAATCATTCGATTGACATCGGGCCAATACCAAGATATGATAAATTCATCGCGACGGAACAAATGGCGCAAAAAGTTGACAACTGAAATCGATGAAAAGATGCGTCTACATCGTGAGTCATTTGATGAGCAGCCTGGTCCACGAGCCGAAGACCATAAATCATATGCTGATCATATTTTGCGTCATTTTGAAGAAAAGTTCACAGCATACACACAGTATGAATACGCTTTGCAAGCATTTCTCCAGTACATTGACACGAATAGAGCACTTGATGCATATGCAACCAAGCTCATCGATGGTAAGCAAACGTTCATATTTGTCGGTGATCGTTTCATTGCGGCAGATTCACCAGCCCGAGGATATATTCGATCGAAGGTGCGAGATTTGTTCGAGAAGTTGAAACGTCGCCGTAAATGTACAGTGGTCGAGGTGGACGAATTTCGGACGACCAAATTATGTTCGTTGTGCTTCCGTGAACTTGAAAAACCGACAAAAAGAGGCAAAGTAAAGGAGAAATATCGCTATCTCACATGCCATGGATGCGAACCATTGTGTGGAGAAAATGTGCTTGGAAAAGCCCAAGGTCCGATTGAATCACGAAAAAGCAATCGCAAATTGACGCAGCAACGAAAACATCGTCCTCGTACTGATGGTCCACGTATGGCATCAAAATTTCGTAAATATGAAGAGAAAACTCGAATTGGGCGTACTATCACCTGGAATCGTGATGCAAATGCAGGTCGTAACATTCTCTACAAAGGTTTGTGTTTGTTAAATTGATATGCTCTCAGTTTAATATGAACAAGTCAATGAACAATAGACAATGAATTCGTTTTTTTTTATTCCTTACAAACAAACAGGATGGTGTGCTGTTATGAATATAGAGCTACATCCAGCATTTCAACGGCATGTTCATATTTAGAAATTGATATAATCATTGTCATTTTCAGAATCAACAAACAACACAACGAACATTGCGTTCTCATCTGGATCAAGCGCGGAGCTCTCGGCCGTAAGCCCTGGGTTTTGTGCGGGATTTCAACGTGGTCCTACAATTCGCTACAATTAGTAAGTATTTAAATTTAATCCTACAGTGCTAAAATTTAATCCTTTTGGATTATTTTGATGAAAAATCCCAAATGATTAATATTTAATCCCTTCTATTTTACAGTGTAGTAACATAATTATACTCTGAAGATAATGGGACTTATGTTATTGTTCAAAATCAAAATGACCCAATACATGCACACTGGGGGGAAAAGGACAAACAATTTTAAAATTTCCAATCGGTGAAGCTTCATGCTGACCAATGTTTTTCGTTGTAATTTTGCCCAGGAAATGAATCAACTTACAAAATTCAGTCGTATTAGATGGATCACAAAATTGTTCTTCGTCTTCGCCGAGAGGGCATTGAGGAACTCCATCGCACAAAAGGTCATTCTCGATACATGAACCATCTTCACAGGTGAATTGGTTCTCCAAACATCCTTGTATTTATATGGAATGTAATGTAATGAAATGAAAATTCAATGTAAAGTGTAAAAAGCGAATGTCATTAGACAAATCTTAAGAATTTCGACATCCATATATAATACTAAATCTGTATACGTCTATTCATTTATGCGTTGTTAACGAAGAATTTGAAAACGCAAGGTTTTTCAACGTTTGACGAATATTCAAGATACTGTACAATTGAAGAGTTTTCTAATCACCACTTCAATCACCAACACCACCACCGTTAATTATATACACTAGTCAAGTATTTACGGACAATTCTACGCGATTTAAAACGAATCTATCTGTGGTTTCACAGTAATAGTTTGAATAAAATTGCGCAAAATCGCTAATATTATAGTACGAAGTATGAACAGGCCATTGACCAAGTATGTGTAAAATCTATAGATTTATAAAAGAACATACATGCAACCAAAATGCATAGATTCGCTGATCAAAATACTCAGTGCAAATCAAAATGCTGTAATTGATTGATGTGGTGTGCTAGGTTTTTCTACTAATTTCAATAAAAATCATACGAAATTTACTAGTTTGTTTCTTTTTCCTTGAAATCCAGTGAAAGTGACACTTACCACAATAGTCTTCATCTTCGCCGTTCGAACAATTTGGTATGCCATCGCATTTTACTTCTTTTGGAACACACGTGCCATCACCACATTGAAATTGATCCTTATTTTCATCACATTCTGGAAAATTTTGTTGAAGAACGTTAATAAAAACAAATGTGACGACATGTTGAAATATATTTAAATCTTTTCCACATGTTTTTCATTGAATGAAAATGCTTCGCCCAATATATGTTGCTATGAATATGAATTAAACTCTTAATAATGTTTTTGACACAGAAATTATACATACGACATATTTCATCTTCACCGCCCGTACAATCACTGTTACCATCGCAACGAAATACCAATTCTATGCATTTGCCATCTCCACATGCAAATTGATCATCACTGCATTCCTCTGAAAAAAAAATACAAGAGAGTTTGTTTAATGATTTTTTGCCGAAAATGTGAGTTTTTCTTATGTAAATGGAATTCAAGGTTTTTTTGAAAATAATTTTCAAGTCTTTGGATTTTTCGCAAATATTTTCATTTTTAGATTCAAAGGAGCGAGTACGACGTTTCCCCCTTTGCTAAGCGAAATTAATCCGATATACGGCGCTGATGTAAATGTCACTCTATGTCATTCCACAATGATACATTTTTTGGCTTGACAATATATAAGCTCTTCATTCAACATGCATAATTTTTGAACGGTCGAGTAAAAAAAAGAAACATATCATGAAATATTCTTCTTACGTTTATCATAAAAATTCTCTATATTTTAAATTTATTTGTTTAAAAATAACAATAATTTCAATTTTTTTTTCATAGATTGAACAAGAATCTAATGTAAAAAGTAATACCAATGCGA